GAAGACCTGAGAAGGGAGGAGGCAGGGCAGAGGATGTGGCCCAGGGTCCCACTACCTGCCCTGCCCTTGCTGTCCCCAGTCCTCAGCCCTGTGCAGTCCCAGCCCCTTCAGTGGAGTCTGGCTCCCCAAAGCCCAAGAGAGGGTGGCTGCCCACAGGCCTGGGCACTCCTGGCTCCCGGGCACCTCCAGGGGTCCCCGAAGGGCCCAGTGGGTGGAGAACATTGCCGGTGGGCCTCATCACGGGGCCTCAGGCCCCAGTGCTCCTGATTTATAACCAGGACTATTTTTTTTGTTTTGTTTGTAGTACTAGGGATCGAACTCAGGACCTTACAAGGTAGGTGCAGTGCCACTGAGCTAAATCCCCAGCCCAAGCAGGGCTAATTTTTACTTTGCAGCTGCCGCCATAAACCCTGGCACCTACTGGGAAGGGGAGCAGCTGGGGGGTGGGGTCCTCGGGCCCTGGAGCCAGCGCCAAATCCCTCTTGCTATTTCTGAGCAGCTGGATGATCCCGAGATGAAAACCTCCTGAAAAAATGTCAGATTCTCATCCTACCCCAGACTAGCCCCATCCTTTCCACCAAAGCAGATGAGGCGCCACAGTCACCAAAGAGAGCAGATGCACACAGCAAAAGGTGCCACCAGAAGTCAGGCCCGCCTTGGGCTGGTCTAGATCACAGGGTCTCCAACTTTGATAATGACATGGTGACATCAGAGCCACCAGCTGAGGGACCCCGGGTGATCCAGTACTCTCCAAATTAGAGGCTCCCTAAAGTTACTTCAGCTCAACATTGCCGCAGTTTAAGGTTCATGCTCCAACTACTGGCTCTGTGATGTTGGGTGACTTTCTTCGCCTTTCTGAGTCTTGATTTTTTCCCACCCATAAAACAAGGAGAAATACTGACCATCTCATTAAGCAAGATGTGAAAAAGCAATAAAATAACACCAGTAGTTCAGAGCAGCTCTATTTGCAATAGCCCCAAACCAGAAACAACACAAATGTCTATTCACAAATGAATGGATGAACAAATTATGGTATATCCATCCAAGAGAATATTACTCAACAATAAAAAGGAGTAAAATATTGATGTGTACGATAACATGAACAAATATCAAAATATTTATGCAGTGTGAAAGAAGCCAGACAAAAAAGTGTACACACTGTGTGATTCCCTTTACATAAAAATCCAGAAAATAAAAACAAATCATAGTGACAGAAAGCAGATCAACATTTGCCTGGGGTTTGGGGCAGGGGTTGGAGGAAGGATGAGAGAGAGGTGGGGTCACAGAAGGATCTGAGAAACTTTTGGATGTGATGGGTACGTTCAATATCTTGATTGTGATGATGCTTGTATAGGAATACACATAGGTCACAAATCATCAGATCGTAGCCAGGTGTGGTGGTGCATACTTGTAATCTCAGCACTCTGGGAGGCTGAGGCAGGAAGATTATAAATTGGAGCCCAGCCTGGATGACTTAGTGAGACCCTGTCTCTAAAAAATAAAAAGGACTGGGGCCTGTAGCTCAGTGCAAACGCCCTAGGTTCAATCCCCAGTAGTGAAAAAAACACTATCAGATTTAAGCCTGTGCATTTTACCATGTACACTTCAAGTAAAGCTGTAAACAAACAAACACAAACCAACTTTAAAAGAGCTCTGGATGCAGGCAGGATGGTCCATTTCCGAATGGCAGCTATTCCCATTAGGAGTCGCTGTCTTTGCATCCAGGTGCTCCTTTGATTAGTTTCCATCTGCACTAGCACACTGCCTTGGGTCTGCTTGCTACAAGTCCCCAGTACCTGGCACATAGGAAATGCTCATTAAATAGCTGTGGAGACGAATCTGCTCCTTTCTTCTGGAACATCTCAGAACCCAGAAGGTTAATTTGTCCTGGGGCAGATTCCACAGCACCAAACAAACCTCTGTTATGAGAACTGAGGCAGCCTGGACCCAGAGTCAACCCCCACCAAGAGGAGATGGGCGGGGCATAACCAAGGCAGCAGGGCCAGGAAGGAAGTGGACACCGCCCTGCCCCACCCAAGGCACAGGGGCTTGGCTCTAGGCCATGCTTGTGTTCTAAAATGACTCTGTAAGCAGGACGTGGTGGCACACGCCTGTAATCTGAGCACTCGGGAGACTGAGGCTGGAGGTTTGCTTCGAGTTTGAGGCCAGCCTGGGCTACATAGTGAGTTCAAGGCCACCCTGAACTGCATAGCAAGACACTGTCTCAAAAATAAATAAATAAGCTGGAGATCTAGCTCAGTGGTTCTGCTGCCTGCCTCGAAAATGCAAGGACTCGAGTTCAATCCCTGGTACCAAATAAATAAATAAATAAATAAAATACAAATAATAAAATGATGCTGTAGGCACAGTGCTGCAGAGTCCTGCCTGAGATGCTAGACAGACCTGGGTTCGAATTCCAGCCATGCTGGTCTGTGTGACCCCAGGCAAGTCACTGCATCCCTCTGAGCCTGCTCCCTCCTCTGTGAAAGTTAAGGACGCTGCTCATCACTCTATGGAGGTGTAAAGAGGGCTCTTGGGTAAGGAGTGGCTGGGACATCTGCCACCTGCCTTCAGCCTGGCTCACTTGACCACATACACAGAACACGACGGGACGCTGGAGGCACTGGGGACTGACCCTGGGCCCCTCTCCCCCGTGACACCCCCAGACTCTGACTTCGTTGGCCCGAGGGCTCTTGGAAGTGAGTATTTTAACAGCTCCCAGGTGATTCCCGAGTGCAGGGTGGAAATCCTGCATCCACATGCAGCAGGATCACCTCTCTTTACCCACACAGAAACGGAGGCCCAGAAAGGCCAGGCAGCTTCTCCAAGGCATACAGCCAAGGAAAGATAGACCTGGGAACGAATTAGAACTTCCAAGCCCAGGACCCAAAGCCATAGCTCCATGGAAGGCGGCAAAGACTTGCACACTGTCCCCTCCTGCTGTACCCCGAATGTGATCCCAGTCAGCAAACACCAGCCCTCACGCTGACAGAGCAGGGCAGGGGACTGCAAGGAACCCCACTTTCCATGTGAAGCTCCTCAGTGTCCCGCACCCAGCCACAGGCCATGGGGATCTCCCTTCCCAGGGCTCAGGACTGACGCCTGCAGGCAAAGGTGGCAGCAGGCCGGGCCAGGCTCCAGGCAAAGCAGCCAAGCAGCTCTACAGGCCCTGAGATGGTAGAGCCCATCGCAGCCCTGGTGGCATGCTGGGCCCTGCAGACCTGGGGCACCGTGTCCCATGCTCTCGAGCCCCGTGCTGCCCCTGGCAGGCGGCCCACACCCCTGACCCAAGGGAAGCCTCCCTGGATGGCTCCCTGTGGCTGCTGCTGGCCTCCCTGCTGCGCCCCCCACTGCAGATGTGGGAGTGGATCAGAGGGGTCCAAGCAGGAGTGGAGGCCTGCTGTCCCACCGCAAGGCATCATTCATTCATTCATTCATTCCTCGAAGGAGGAACTGCACAGCCCTTCAAAGAACCCAAGCGCTGGGGCCGGACCGCTGGGCTGCCCTGGCTGTACGACCTGGGCACCTGATGGCACCACTTGGGCCTCAGTTTCTTCACTTGGGCCATAGGAATAACATCAGCACCCACCATAGGGTGGTGAGTCTAATGAGTTAACAATGCCCAGTGATTAGAGCAGGGCCTGGCATGTGGCAGGATTGTGTTCATTGTGACTGTTGTCATCACCAAACCAGAGGGATGTGGGAGGGGAAGGAGCCCAGGAGGAGGGGACACGTAGGCCGGAAGCTAATGGTTGGAAGGGATTTGCAAGTCGTGGGGGCAGGAGAGTGGAAGGGCGTCCTGGGCAGGCGGAACAGCAGAGAGAAGCGCTCCTCGGTACAGGAGACATCCCCTCCTGTCCTGGTGCTCAGGTCTCGCCCCCCGCCCACTCCACAGTCTCAGGGGACATAGCTATGGCTGCAGCTTGCTGGAGGGCCTAGCTGAGCATTGGTGGGGGGCTGCTGCCAGGGAAGCTCACCCTTCCCTGGCTCCCCCCCCCCCGCAAGATCTCCAGTGTCTGCTTCTTTGTTTTGAGGAGGCTTCGTGCACCTCCCAGCCACATCCACGTGCCTGAGACCCCCACAGGAGCTCAGGAACAAGGAGAGAGGCCCAGAGAGGCCAAGTGACTTGGCCAGAGCCACACAGCCCACTGGTGCTCCACACTCCTGCTCAGCCCTCCTGCTGCTTTTGGCTGCAGCTGGGCCAGGCAGGGATGGGAGGGCCCTTCCCCTCCGAGTCAGACAGAGGCCATTGTGTGCAGTGAAACCCGAATCCAGGCCCCCTTGGGTAGTTGGATGGGCTGGAGCAAGGGGCTGCCGGGGAAAGCCTCCCTGCACCCTCCCCCAGTCCGGGCCACATCTGGATTCCAGCTGGTAGTTCCAGAGCCCAGGAGGAGGGGGAGAAGTCACCCCAGGAACTGCTGGAGGGTGAGGCCACAAAGGCAGAGCCCAGCTCAGGGCCAGGGCCTGCTGAAGGAGCCATGTGCATGGCATTGTATCAGACCAGCCCAGAGCACAAGCTTCGTCCAGGACATGGGCAGCTGGGAGTCTTGCCACTGCCCTGTCCTTGGGGAAGCAGAGGGTGGGGACTGTCCTGAGGCCATGATCAACAACAGAACTGTGTGTGGAAGCTGGGCCTGTGTGCTGGCACCCCATGGGGAACCCCACTCCTCCAGCTTGTGGGTCATCGGATCTCTCTCTGCATATATACTTTTTTCTTGGTTTGTCTTGTGGTTCTGAGGATTGAACCCAGGTTCTTCCCACTGAGCTACATCCCCAGCCCATTTTTAAATTTTGAGACAGGAACTTGTTATGTTGCCTAGGCTGGGTTTGAACTTGTGATCCCCCTGCCTCAGCCTCCCAGAGTCCTGGGATTACAGGTCTATGCCACCGTACCCTTCAACATCTAAGACCTGCCTGGTGTCACCCCCACCCCAGAAAGTTGCCCCCAGCCCATGAGCAACCCCTCCCCACCCCTCTCTCCCAAAGACAGTGAGACATGGGACAGATTCAAGGTTTATTATGCTGGTGTGTTATGTCTCAGCACCTGAGGGCTGCACAGAGGTTGGGGCAGCTCCACATGGAGGAATGGGGTAGAAACTCCCCTAGAGACTCCCGCAAACAGGACAGAGCCTAGGATGGAAGGATGCTGTGGACGAGGGCTGCCAGACCTCATGATTGAGCAAAGGACCAGTGGCCAGTAACCCCTGCTCCAGGCTGGGTGTCGGAAACCAGAATGAGGGTTCCTCCGAATGCAGCCCCCCAGCTTACAGGCTGCTTTGAGGGTCTGACAGACAGAGAGAGTTCAATCCAGAAGCAGCAGGGGGATGAGAAACTCAACCCCAGGTAGGGGTGGCTTGGGGAACCAAATCCCTATACCCCACACCCGAATTGTGGACCAACCACAACTTGGGGCACCTTCAGAAAAATAAGAGCAGTATTTTCCAGAGTGGGTTTTGCCGGATTTGAGCTTACAACTATTTTAAAAAGAGGGGTGCTGGGAATCCAGCTCAGTGGTAGAGGCCTTGACTAGCAGGCGGGAGGCCCTGGGTTCCTTCCCAAGTACGACCAAAAACAAAACAAAGCAAAGCTCTGGAAAGTGCTCGCTTCAGCAGCACATATACTAAAAGCTTTGGAAAGGCTAGGCAAAACCCCAAACTGCATCCAACAGGAGGCTTTACTATAGGGCTGGTCAGAGCCCTGGGGAACAATCAGGTGGGGCTGGGGTGGAGAGGCAGCCCGAGTGGCCTCACTTCATTTGACCTTGGAATCTTGTTTTCATGGAGTGCCTCAGGGAACCCTGTCTGGGAAACACTCGCTTACGGCCCTGTCTTGAGAGACAGATACAGGGGTCCCCTCCCAGAAGCTGCTAAATAATCAGCTCCACTTCTGTAGCCTCGGCTCTAAGCAGAGGCAGAGTGACCCTAAAATATTAGGGATTAGGGAGATTCAAAGAATGGGTGGCACTGCAGGCTGCTTCTGCTTTGCCAGCCCCAGGTACCCCAGCATGCCCACGCAACCGCTCCCCAGATTCCTAGATCGCCTATTTTTCTTTGCTGCCTCCATGGAAAAACTGATATTTGCTTCCTCACAGGGGACTTCTGGCCATATTTCCCACCCCTTGTGGCTGATGTCGTAGCTGTTTGCTCCTGGCTCTTGTGGCACACATCTGTCCTCCAGCTCCCCTGAGTGCCGCTGGAACTTGGGGGGATTCCTGGGTGGACCACAGACCAGCTCCTCTGGCTGCTACAGGACGGGACATGCTGGGGCTGGCACAGAGGGGCACCAGGGAGTGGTCGGGGCTGACGGCCTTTTCAGGCCCAAGGAAGCGACCACTGGGGCCCAACAGTCAAGGCCAGCCACTCTGGGGCCTGTTAGACGCCAGGGGAGACACTGCTGCATGCACAGGGATTTTCCAGGGGGCCTGCTGGTCCCTGGGCTTCCTGGGTTGAAGAGAAAGATCCTTCCGGCTCCTCGTGACCCTTGCTGGCTGTTGGAGCCTCCTTGGCCACGGCTGAGCATGACTCCTCCAGGACTTCTGGTTTCTCCTCAGGGACCCCGCATGCCTGGGCTTCTGAGGCATCCTCCTGGCTGCCCTGCACCCCTTCCTCCACCCTGCCCTCTACCAGCTGGGCTCCCTCCCCGCTGCTGCCCAGGGCAGCCCTGGCAGGAGACTTGAGGTTCTGGGTGGCGGCCAGGATGTCAGCCTGCAGCTGCTGGGAGGAGTCCAGAGCCTCCTCAGGCCGGCTGTCGGGAGCCCTGTCAGGAACCTCACTGAAAACACGGGGGCCCCCAGCCCGGTCGCTCTGGTCCACGTACTTCTTCTTGGGGAAGGACGACGGGTAGTAGGCCGTGGCCTTGTGCTTCTGGCGGGTGATGAGTGCGGCGCAGACAATGAACATCAGCAGGAAGGCCAGCGAGCCCACCACGGCGATGAGCATCACATACTGGTGGAAGAAATCCACGATGCCGTCCAGGAAGTTGGTGGGGTGTGCCGGGCCCTCCAGGGCTGTGGGCTGGGGCCCCACCGATGTGGGGCTGAGGGCTGGGGTCCGGGGAGGTGGGAGGCTTGGAGAGGAGGGCGACGAGCCCTCTGCATCCCCGCTGCCCCCCAGGTCCTCCAGGAAGGCGGCAGGCAGGGACACGGAGAGGCCAGGCAGGGGCGCGGGCCGCAGAAGCAAGAGCAGGGAAAGGAGGAGGCTGGAACCCACTGCAGAGACCATGGTTCCCCCAGGACCTGCAGGGAGAGGAGAGAGGGGAGAAGTCAGAGGCTGTCCAGTGTCTCAGGATTCAGAAACAGGGCTCACAGGGCCCTGAGACTGCAGGGAGCACAGGAGGAGTCCCAGCGAGCCTGTTCCTGGGCTGGAGCCCCCACTGCACCATGGACCCCTCTGGTTCATGCCTGGTGCACACGCTGTGTCCTCTTCCCTCCGAGGTCCTGGGCAGCAGGGCCAAATCTGATTCACCCCAGCATTTTCTGGGGTTTGCCCTATCTTTGGTATACGGCACACACACTCAGTAAATGCATCTGAACTGACACGGCTGAATTCACAATAAGCTTTCATGACTTTCTATGTGCCAGCTGCTACGGTAAGTTTCTTTCTTTCTTTCTTTTCTTTCTTTCTTTCTCTCTCTCTCTCTTTCTCTCTCTCTCTTTCTTTTCTTGGAGGGGAGCTGAGACAGGATCTTGCTATGCAGTTCAAGCTGGCCTCAAACTCACTGCTGACCTGCTGCCTCGGCCTCCCAAGTGCTGGGGTTACAGGCATGAATCCTGATAATCAGAGGGAGGGGTGTCCTGGGATAATCCCTGTGTTTCAGGTAAGGAAACTGAGACTCACAGTCATTAATCAAGGAAGAGCTAAGGTTGGATCTGGGCCTGAGGGGAGGGGTGAAGGTGGGGCTGAGTCATTGAGGCCTCAAGGGAGTGACAGGGATGCCCTGCCCTGTGTGAGGCCTCATCTCTGTGCACAGAATGGCTGCAGTGGCTCCATGGCCACATCCCATCTTCTCAGCCAGAGGCTTTCTCAAACCTCCCCCTGGGAGCCCCAGCCGTTCTCCCCTCTCCAAGAGTTTCTCAGTCTCTAAGTTTTGCAGGGGGCCTGGATGCCAGGATCGGCACCCACAGCTGCCCCTCGCCTCCAAGCTCCAAGCAGGCCAGGAGGGTCCCCCGGGGAACCCCTGTGGTGAGACAAAGCCATAGCTGCCAAGCTAGATGGGAACCAGATGACCTCGAGCCTCTCTCCCTCCCTCTCCCTCCTCCCTGCTGGAAGGCTGCTCCCTGCATGAACCCCCAGACCCCATCTGGCCCAGGCAACCCCGCTGATTAATAAATTCCTCACTGTCCAAGTTTATGGAAGAGCTGGTTTCTAGAACACAAACTCTCCTAACTGATGTGAGAGGGGCCGGGCTTTAGACAAACCCGAGACTGCAGGCCAAGTCCCCCAGGCCACCTTCCTCCAAAGCTGGCTAGGTTATTTATGGACACCGAGAAAAGCTTCAGGATCCCCTGTCTGAGGCCCCTCTCGGGGTCTGAGGTGGGCAGACAGCAGGGCGAGGGGCACGAACAGGCCACAGAGCAAGTTCCCAGGCTGGAGGAGGGGCTAGGGTCCCAGGCCTCTACTGCAGGTCCTGCTCAGTGACACAGGTGACAGGCCAGCCCCTTGGGTGACAGCGAAGACCCAGGAGATGAGCTAGGATGGAGGCTGGGAAATTAGTGGCTTGTTCCAGGTGCCCGAGGCCTCCCAATTTCTGTGCTCTAATTGCTCAGTGTCAATGAAGGATCAGACCCAGGACCACCTTCCAAGGACAAGAAAATCCAAGGATGCCCAAGTCCTTTAAACAAAATGGTGTGGGATTTGTGTGCAACCTACATACGTCCTTCCATGTTTTTATTGTTTTCTTTTGTTTTTTGAGACTGGGCCTTACTCTATAGCTCAGGCTGGCCTTGAACTTGCCGTAAGCCTCCTGCCTCAGCCTCCTGAGTGTCAAATAACAGGCATGCACCACCACACCACCAGGCTTCTCCCATATATTTTAAATTACCTCTAGATGACTTACAACACCTCATACAATGTGAAAGCTACTTAAAGCCTATCATACTGTATCTTTTTATGGCTACACTGTTTTGTTTTAATATTTTCTATCTGCAGTTTTTTGAATCTGTGGCTGAAGAAGCCAAAAATTCAGAGGGCTGTTTGCACTGTTATAAATTTGCTCAAACCAGCTCAGAGGGCAAGAACATTTTCCTTTGTGCTAGGGACTGAACCCAGGACCTTATGAGTGCTCAGCAAAAGCTCCTCCACCCAGCTGCCCCCCAGCCCCTGGGCCCTCACCGGAGACATTTAAGACCTCATCAGAAACTCTTCCTGGATTCCCTTCCGCAAAAGCCACAGCACTTGGTCAGCAGCCGGTGATCTGCCCAAGGACACAAAGATGGCTCAGACAGAGCTGGGATTTCAACTCTCCTCTGTCTACTCTGCGAGTCCACACACACACACTGCACACCCACAGTGGGCTAGGAAGGGGTCCGCACCCCCATGGGCATCACTTCTCAGCCAGAAGGAGCATCGAGCAGCGCTGCTAAGTGAGGAGCCAGGAGCTCCTCCTCTCTGCTCCTGCTGAACCCAGCTCAGCCCTGCCTGTCCGAGTCAAACCCCGAGAGATCTTCAATGGTGGCAGCTGAAGCACCATGGCCACCAGAGGCTGAGGCCTGGGAAAGTCACAAGGCAGCTGGGAAGCTGGTTGGGCTGGTTCAGCACCCTGGCTCCCCAGGTCTACCTCTGCCTCCTGTTTCCCTGGAGCCTCTTTCTCCATCTGTAAATGGGCAGCAGTGTGTGTTTGAGTGTGTGTGGCAGTGGTGGGGTGACCACAGACTGAGCCTGCAGAGCTGTCAGGATCGTATAAGATGACATTCTGAATGTTCCCGGCACAGAGTGGCAGCTGACTCAGGAAAGGTGGAATTCAAGAGCGGAGAGCTCCAGGAGCAGGCAGCAATTTCCCCTCCTACACCAACAAATGACTGTCTTCATTTGTGTGTGCATTTGCCCAGTGTCTTCCCCACCTCCCAGGAAAAAAAAAAAAACACACAACTTTTTTAATCCATTGAGTGAAATTTCCTCAGCTCTGGTCACAGGATGCAGGACTAACACAGAGATGCACACACACTCACGCACACACGGCAATAGTCAGAAAAAAGGAGTTGAGGAGAGGACAAAAGCAAGGAAGGAGGCTCTACAAACTATCACTGGCTCTTAAAGGCTTAGACCACAACTCTAGAGTCCCCCCCAACCCCTCCTGACTCCCTGACAAAGGGCAGGGACATAGCTCTATATGGAACCAGCCAGGCCTCGTGGCAGGTGGCTGTGTGACCCTGGGCAGGCCTCTGCCCTCTCTGGATCTTGGTTTCCCATCTGCAGAGTGGAAGAACTGGCCTTCGAGGCCAGGCACTTGGTTCCTGCTTTCAGAGGGACTCGGACCCTCGAGTCACTAGGAGCAGGGGTGAAGCCTAGCTCCTGTGTTCCCTCCCAAGAGAAAATGCAGGGCCAGAGACGGTGTGGTGCCTGGGGCAGCACAGCACCCAGGGCTCAGGCCAGCAGAACCCTGAATAGAGGCGGCTGGAATGTCTAGGAATCTCTGGGCCACACACAGGGCCCTCCCCACACACAAGCCAAGGCAGTGCCTGGTGCACGGTAGGGGCCAGTGAGTGGGGACCCTCTCACTCCGGTTAGCTGCTTAAGATGATGATGCCACCCACTTGTGGTCGTGATTCTGCAAATAATGCAAATCCCCCCCAGGGCCCGGGTACCCCAAGACCTGCCTGAGGCTGAGGGTCCAGAGCTGCTGCCCCACCCCCACCCAGAGAGGGGCAGCCAGCGGGGGAGGGGCGCCCACAGAAACCTGGCTTCAATTAGTGGTCTGGGGGGAGGGGGCCAGGCGAGGACAGGGAGCTGGGCGCCTCAGAGGAGAGGTCTTCGAGGGAAGGGGTTCCCAGGGGCTCAGAACTCACACAGACACACACGGAGGCAGCAGGGGCAACCAGACTCAGGGCAACCAGCACACGGGCTCGGTACAGCACGGTGCCCCTACACGGGCAACTCACTCAGACACGCAACGCATGCATCACACATCCCCGACACGGGACAGGGCTGCCCCAAGGCACCTTCGCCCTGAGCCTGGAAGCAGCACCTGGCGACCGTCCACTTCCAGAGAAGGCACCCACACCCGTCCTACCCACCCCAGCATCCTCTCGGGACTCCCAGGACCCTCCACCGCCAGCCTGCGCACACTTGGGCACACAGGCTCAGAGACGCCTGCAGAGTGCTCCACAGTCCGGTCCGGAGCTCCGGGAGAGACCCTGTCCTGGCGGTGGGGACTCCTCCCCTGGGGACTTACTGGTTCCCGCTGCAGGGCTGGGAGCTCCCCGGGTGGACGAGATGGGCACCCGGCCGCTTGGATCAGTCCCCGCCGCTGGTGCTGGGTGCTCTGGCTGGCGCCTGCCCTCCTCGTCCTCCGTGCCTCCTTCTTCTCCTCAGGCTGGGCTGCAGGGCCAGCTTGATTTCATTAAGAGAGTTTGGGGTGGGGACAAGGGGAGGGGCGGGGCAGCGCCGGGGCCACACACAATCCCACCCTCGCTGCTGCAGCCTCACTTCCTCCCTGACCCGAGGTCCCCAGAGAAGGCTCAGACAGACAGACAGACAGACAGAAGGGCTGTCCGCTGTGCTTCCCAGAACCCAGAGCCGGGGTCCCGCCTGTTCCCCCACAGCCCCAGGGGCCGAGGTCAGGGAGGCCCCTAGAAGTGAGCAGGAAAAGTCCCCATCTCTAGTTCCAGCTCTGACTCAGGGTTTCCAGCCTCGGGTGCAGAGTGGGAGTCAGAATGTGTGGAAGGGAGGCCCAGGAGGGTCTGGGCCTGAGGCAGGGAGCGGAGTTCCGGCACCAAGTCTGGTCAAGCCCTTCACCTCCTAGGCCTTCCTAGGGTGGGAGGAGAGCTTGCTGAGCTCACTGGCTCTGCCATTCAGGGATCTGTGGCCTCCGAATACCCCAAGTGGAGTCGGTTAGGCAGGAGTTATAGACCCATTTCACACAGGGGCAAGTAAGGCAGGGTGAACTCAAATGATTCAACCAGGGTCCTGAAGTGAGTGGCTGGCAGGGCCTGGGACCAAGATGTCTGGCTGACTGAGGAATCAAGAGGGCCTGCAGCCACTTACACTCGTTCATTCATTCATCCACATGCTCAAGCATTTATTCAGCAGATGCTCAGCACACCTGCATTGCAGGGCCCTGTGCCAAGCAGGTTCCAGAGGGGAATCAGAGTAGCCCAGCCCTCTGCAAGCTCACAGAGGTACCGGCTTTTACTCAGCAACTTGGAGGAGAATCTGCCTACGTGCGTTGCTTCCCGCCCCTGAACACAGGGCCTTTGCTCTGAGCTATATCCCCAGCCCTTTTTCTTTGGATACAGGATCTCACTGACTCATTAAACTGCTCCGGCTGGGCTCTAACTTGTGGTCCTCCTACCTCAGCCTCCCAGAGTGCTGGGATTACAGGCGTGTGGCACCACACCTGGCTTGCATATTGTCCAGAGCAATTCTATATAATTTTGGAGGAAAATCATTTCATAATTAAATTATGATGATGCCTATTTTTCCTGCCTACAGGCCAGCTTTGGCATGTGAAGACATAACTCCATTTTCACCTCTGGTCACAGCTAAAACCTCAGTGGTCCAATGATGCTGTGATGCTCCAGGGCAGGATTACATCAGTTGAAGACATCCTGGCAGGAACAAAATCTCCATCTGCATAAATTCCTTGTTGTTTTAGGATTATCAGCCACTGCCCTCTGAGTCATCTGTTACTCCCCATGTACCAAATAAAGGTGTGGCAAGCTCAGGGTGCCTTGGGCTTTGCTGCCCAGAGCATCGTTGATCAGGCCCAAAGCTCAGCTTCTTCTCTAAGTCTCGTCTCCTGTCTTTATTCATTAATTCACCTTGTGCTGTCATGGCTCACAGGAGACCAGGACTCACTGCAGGGGTTCTGGTAATGTCTCCTTTTCCTGTTCCTTACAGTGTATTGCTTTTTTTTTTTTTTTTCAAGACAGAAGGGGGCCTGCAGCAGGAGAGAGACCAGCCCCAGGGCTCAGGAACCCCAGGTGGAAGCTGGCACATGGAGAGAAAGAGGCAGGGAGGTCATCCTAGAGAAACTCAAGGCTCAGCAAGAGGAGACCCTGGAAAGGCACTCCAGGAGAGAGGACTGGCATGTGCCAAGGCACAGTGGCCAGCAGTCACAGAGGAGGGGCTTGATTACATCAATCATGGGCCAAAGGGAGGAATGGGTGTGGAGGGGTGGAAAGGTCAGGTGCCAGCCTCAGAATATGAGAACAGTTTTCACCCAAGAGGCAGTGGGAAGCCAAGGAAGGTTTGGAGCAGGGCAGTGGGTGGAATTAACAGTCCACATCCACCATGGAAGAGCCACAACTCTAGATTGTGGCTGCTCCTTGCAATGGCCCCAGCAGCTGCTTCTCACCTTCGAGAAGAGAGGAGTCTTTCATTTGGAAAATTAAACCAGAGACTTATCCCATCTTCTCTTGTGATCCTCCCAGAGCCTGTATTCTGGAGGGACCAGGGGACACACACTCACCCATGGGACTCACATGCTGTCAGTCTGACAGGCCCAGAGATTGGGGCACAACTAACCCAGTCAGGGCTTGTTCCAGCTCCAGGACCCCACAGGGACCCCTCAGCCTGGAGACAAACAGACCCAAGTTCAGAGGCTGTTTCCTCATCTGTAAAATGGGAACAGAGAAGCGCTAGAACTCAGGAGACCACTGGGGAAATGGGAGATGCAGTAGGCAGGAAAGTGCTTGGCGATGTAAAGAGCCCAGGCCAGACTCCATGTGCCAAATGCCAAGTGCATAGGTTCCCTACTGTCACAAATGCCCCCAAGCAGCTCAGGCAAGAGCAATCCATGCTTGCGCCTTATGGACCTTGCTGTCAGGAGTCTGAATTAGGCCTTGCTGGGCTGAATGCAGGGCTTGAATTCATTCTGAGTCTTTAGGGAGAGAATCTGTTCCTTTGCCTTTCCTGTTTCTAGAACCTTCCTGCACACCTCCGCTCCAGGCTCCAGCTGCCCACATCCCTCGAGCAGCAGCAGCAGGCTTATCCTTCCCAGGCTGCCTTCTCCCTGGGTCTCTTCCGGTTCCCTTTCCCACTTTTAAGGCTCTTCTTTGTGATGACATGGGCCCCTGGCTAGACCTGCTCAGCTCCCCGTCTGGGATCCTGAACCACACTTGCAAACGCCCCTGGCGCTCTGAGGTGACACAGCCACGGGTCCCAGGGTCAGGCTGTGGAAGCTCTGGGCCTGGGCTAGGAAGGTTTGCATTATTCTGCCTCACATGCCAGACTGGAATACAGTCACACCTTGCTGTCCATGGGGAAGGTTCCAGAATCCTCGGAGGATGCCGCACCCCTTACAGGGACTGTGTGGCATGGTGCTGGTCACCCTCCTGTCTGCCTTCAGCCACCTCCTGTGATGTTAATACCCAATACAACTGCCTGCTATATGAACATTTGCTCTACCTCACATCTCAGCGGACATTGACAAGAAGAAAAAGCTCTGCATCTGCTCAGTGAGGAGACAACTTTTTCGTCACATTTCCAATCTGCCATTGGCCAAGGTGGCAGATGCGGAGCTGAGGGGATGGAGGGCAGAGTGCTCCCCCTCTGCCTGCTTCCCCAGCACCCAGGGCTCCTGCTCCACGCAGACCCCAGCAAGTGCTGCACCTCACCCCCAACAGGCTCCTCAGAGGAGGAAGAGAAGCCCACTAGCCAGCCAAGGAAACAGGCTCAGGGCAGTGGCCGCCCAAAGCAGGCCCAGGGCAGAGCCCCTTCTCTGCAATAGCCCCTGTGTCAGCACATCCAAAATGCTAGCACCTGACTGCAGCCTCTCTCGGGGGCCCCTTCACCACCCTGGGCCACGGCAAACCCAGCAGACCACTTTGCATCACTGTCAGACCCTCAGACACATACGAATGCACACCCCCACACACGGACACACACACGTATACACACATAAACACCTAGGCACACACGCACACAGAAACACACGTATGTATGTGCCGAGTCTGCCAAAAAATGCATACACACTTCAGGAACAGAAAAACTCATATAAATGTTTTAATATGAAATTTATTGAGCCATCATGAGGTTAATACAAGTTACCTTTGGCCTCTACCATTACAAGAGGTGCTCAGAGTGGTGGCCATGAGCTTCCAGACATTTATTCGTACAGCGAACTGCTGCTTGGCTAACCTTGGTCACAGAGATCGATGCGTTTTCAACTTCCTCTCTATGAGGCGGAGGTGTAGTGGGTTTTCTGGGATGTACGACATCCTCCAGGGTTCCGCCCGTGAGGGTCACACCATCTGTTGGAAAAGCATCATACTATTTTTCCTTCCCTGAAGTGTGTATACATTTTTTTGCAGACTCTGTGCTCCCATGTATAGGACACACATCCACATATACGCACACAGACACACACTTCCTTTAGACTGCATGAGGCTGGACAGCAGCCACTGAGTAGTGACGAGCCTGCGCCTGGCCTGGTGAGTGCCAGCCATGGGTCCCTGTGTCCATCTCTCCCAGCCTGGCCCACAGGTGGACGTGGGGTGAGGCTGGATGCTTGCCACAGCTGCGGCCCCTTAGGCTCCAACCCTGAGACTCTAAATTTCACTCATGCTACAGATATTTCTTGAGCCCTCGCTTCCCACCTTGCCCACAGTTGGGCCCAGGGAGAGAGTGATGGGCAAACATAGACACACAGGTTACAGGATCGGTGGGAGACCCATAGTAAATAAGTAAACAACAAATGACTCTCCGAGAGCACCCTGGGCTAAGAATTGAGAGTTCAGGGGCCATGGGAGCACTGACCACGGGGGCCAGTCTGGTTCCCCTCACAAGGGCCGCCCTGGAAGGTGAGGAGAGGGTATTAGGAAGGCAAGGGTGTATGAGGCTTCCCAGCAATCAGAACAGCATGTGCAAAGGCCCTGAGGTGGTCAGGACCACAGAACCCACAGGGCAGCTCCTAGAGGTTACTGTCATGCTGGAGTCAATGTGCCAGATCTGTGGGAAATTTGCCTGTCTGTACTGTCCCAACTCTAGCATCTAGGACAGTGCCCGGGACACAGTTAGAGCTCAGTGCTTGTAGACTGCTCGAATAACCACTCCAATGTCCACTCCTGCACATCCAGCGGTGCCTCATCCATCCCAAGTCTCATCTCCCAAGTTCCCCAGTCGTGGGAGCGTGTGGGGCCCGGCCTGGACACTCCCCCAGGGCCTGCACCACCACAGGGCACAGGCAGCTGGACCACTGCAGCCTGTAATTTCCGAGGCACAGGCAGCGGCCGGCCTGAGGGGCCCTCAGTCCCTCTGGAAGTGGTTCAGAGACCCTGCCCTGTGCTCACCGAGAAATTAGCAGCCACCCCACCCTGTGGAGCAGCCACTGCCCTAGGCTGGAGAGGGGAGGCCGGGAGAAACTCAGCCCCTGGGTCTCTGCCAGGACGCTCCCTGGTTGGGCCTGGGGTGGCCACCCGGCCCACAGCAGCCCCCAGCTCCAGCCCACCGTGGGTCCAGGGCCACTTCTAATTACACAGCCCCGAGGCCACAGGGCCTGCCCTCAGGCAGAAATAGCAGGGCCTTTCATGTGGCTGCAGAGGCCTTTGCTAGGCCCCAGGCAGCCCAGGCCCTGCCTTCTCCTTGGAGGGACCACAGCAAGGAGGCCACCTCCTACCTGGTACCCCAGAGAGGCCGGAGCTCCAGGTATGCTGTGAAACCTCTGTGGGCCTCAGTTTCCCCATCTGTAGGGAAGACACTTTCTCTTACTGCTCCACTGTTGGCCTGGCTGTCCCCTCCCCCAGGCTCTGTCCTCCACACTCCCTTTGCCTGACCCATCCACCGCCTGTAGCTCAGCCACCACCGCACTGCGAAGAAGCCCTCCCAACCCCAGCCTCCAGGGAGGGACAAGGGAGCTTCCTGGGCTCTCCTGCACCCCTGGGCTCCCTTCTCAAGCCCTGAGCCCTCAGGGCCCTCGTGGCCTCTTTGCCTGCATCTTAAGACTGTGAGCCCCTCAAAGCCAGAGTCAGGGCCTCTTCCATCTCAGCATCCCTGGCACCTGTGCCCGCAACACAGTAGGTGCTCAGGAAATGCCCACCCCCTGGTTGAATGGGTCCCGTGCACCCTGTCCTGTTACACAGATGGGGACACTGAGGCCCAGGGAACGGATGGAGTTGGCTGGAATCTGCCAACATGATTGTTCGTGTGTCCGTTTAACAAATATTTACAGGCACCTGTCCTGCACCTGCTCAGACCTGGGTGCTGGGAAGTGACAAGGGACAGGACACCAACTGTCCCTCGGGGAGCTCCTGGGAGGACCGAAAAGGGAAACAAACCAAGCAGAAAATAGGGGGGATAACACAACACTGTGGACTGCTGTTGAGGAAATAAAAAGGATGAGGAGACAGAGTCACTTGGAAGGGGCAGGGACAGGTACCTGGGTAGCTATTTTAGCAATTGTGGACAGTGATGGCCTCTCTGGAGAGGTTTCTGAACCAACAGATGTAGAATAAGGAAAACCAGGCATATGAAGGCAGGGGGAAGAACTTCCAGGCCAAGGGATCGGCGAGTGCAAAGGCCCTGTGGCAGGAAAGGCTCACCATGAGGCCTGTGGTAGGGAAGGAAGAGTGGATACTGACCCACTCTCACAGGGAGCAGTTAGAGTGGGAAATATGGAGACTTCTGATAGCTCCAGGGCCTGCCCCTTACATACTATGTGACTTGGGCCTCAGTTTCCTTTCCTAGATCCAGAAGGGTCAGAGGCAGCTCCTCCACACCCTGGCGTTCTGTGATTCTCAGTACATTTTCCACTTGTCCCAGCCAGATGCTCACCCACTGCTGGGGCTAGATAAAAATGGCAGAGTCATTTTGGAAAGCAGATTAGTGGTTTTTATAAAGTTACCATTCTTGCCTCCTGTCTGAGCCAACAATCCCGGTGCTGGGTATTTACAAAGAGAAATCCAAGCGCATATCAGCACAAAGACACAAGTGTCCATCGCAGCCCCCAGCTGGAGACAGCCCAGATGTGGCAGCAGGAGCAGGAATGCCCAGATGTGGTGCCTGCACGTGGAGCAGGTGTGGAGAATCCCATGCATGCTGAGCTCAGTACACCGCAAAGGGTTCCATCTCTGGAAGCTCCAGGCAAAGGAAGGGCCAGCACAGCCCTGGGGCTGGCAGTCAGAGCAGTGAGCTCATGGTGCCCACCGGGCGGGCTGGGAGGAAGCGGCCGGTGCTGGAAATGTGTGCTACAGAGGCCCAGGTGGTGGTCATGGGCACACGCGTGTGAGCAATCACACTGTGCACTGGACTCGCGCACTTTCCACGGGTCACGACTCAATCAAAGGCTTGCAGAGAAGAACCATTCAGCCCTCTGTGTGAGGAGGGGCAGCCCACAGGCCGAGGGTGCGTGGTGGCCCTGCCAGCTCCTCGTGTCTTGCAAACATTTACCTTCCCGGGGGGCCTGGGAGGAGCCATCACGAGGCCCTCCCTCACCGTGGACACCACCTGGGTGGGCAGGGGGCCAACAGGGGTGCCCACTGCAGACCTGGCCATACTTTCCCCTCTGCCAACTGCCCATTGGGCGCCCTTGGGCCAGCCACTACTGGATGCCTCCCAGCCTGGCAGAGAGCAAACAGCAGGGAGGGCTTGGGGCTGACCTCTGGGGACCCTGATCTCCCAAATTCTCAGGGAACATCTCTCTTTCTCTCAGTTTTCTTGCTTCCTACTGCGACACTCTCCTACCCCTCTTTCTCCCACCTGCCCTGTTCCTTTCCTTTCTTTCTGTCTCTCTCCAAATACTTACTGAGCACATACCGTGTGCCAGGCACTTTCAAGGCCCTGGGGCCACGGCAAAGAACAGCAGAGATGAAATCGCAGTACTTCCATTCTGGGCCTTAGAAAGATCTCTGAGCAGTGTCGCAGGGGGCAGCATGGTGGCTGGGGGTCAGCAGCATGGAGAGAAAGCAAACAGAGAGAGGGTGACATTCATGCAGAGACCCAAGAGAGGCCTGGGAGAGGATCAGGGTGGGAGAGAGTCAGCCCAGAGACAGCCTCACAGCCAGGGACCTCCTGGCACCCAGACCCACGGAGGGTCCAGCCGAGTGGCAATGGCCACGTGGGGGCAGGAGGAGGAGGAGGAGGAGGAGGAGGAAAAAGCCTCACCAGGAGCCAAGGCCGCCCACCCTGCAGGCACGCCTCTGCAGAGGTGACCCTGGGCTCAGTCTCCTCACCTATAAGGGGATAACAGCCACACTGGTCTAGTTCCTGTGAGGTGGCACCAAGACCCCTTTGTACCTGGCACTTAGCAAATACACCAGGAATCATCTCAGTGACTCGGGGACATGGGGGACCAAGACTGTGCATCACACCAGCCAAGTAGCTCTTCAAGCTGAGGCCTGGCACCAGCAGGTGCCCCATGAGGCTAAGCAACAGGAGGGGACAGGGCCACCCAGTCCCCAACCCAGATGGTGGGCTGGCTGGGAGGCCTCAGGGGTGCCCTTAAATTTAGAGGGGTCCCTGCCATCCTTGGGGGTTCCCTTCACCCTTGAGGATTTGGGCACAAGGACCTGGGGCCCACCTGGCCCTCACACCCACGTCCAGGTGGGCCCTGGAGTACGTGCAATGGATCCACAACCTCCGGCCTCCGTGAGCACCGACTGCCGCATGCATGCGGGTGCTGGGGGAGGGGGGAGGGGCTCCGACAGCTGGGAACATCTGGTTTGAATTGTGGGTTGGAAGCACCAGCCAGGCAGCCAAGGAATTTGTGAGCTAATTTTAGGCCAAAAGACAGAGAGCTCAACAGGGCGGGGCCTTGCTCCCCAGACCACAGAGATGGAGGCCCCTACGGTGCCCCTTGGAGGGTCCCTGCCTGCCTTGTAGCTGGGGACTCTCAGGTTGGCACCACTGTGTCCACTGTGTGCCAGGCACCCTGGCTCCTCACGTCCTCCAGCGGCCCTTGGAGGAGGAGGAGAAGGAGGAGGAAGGAGGAGCAGGAGGAGGAGGAGGAGGAGGAGGAAGGCATTTCACAGGTGAAGGGGTATCACCCAGAGGTAGTGAGCTGTCTGTCATGAATCGTATAAGCAGCAGACCCAGGATCCAAACCAGGTTCTGGACTCCGAGACCTAAGGCTCCGCCTGTCTCCTGCTGAGGCTTCCATTTTCTGTCGTCTCTTCGCCAAGCCTCCCTTGCTAGTCTGTGTCCCACTGGTGCCTCCTGAATCCGTCCTGGGGCCACACACATGCAGGGACAGGGACAGAGTGAACAAGAGGGACCCGGGTCCTGCTATCATGCAGCACAAACCAATAGACCAGGACATCGTGCCAGACAGTGCCTGGAAAGGAAGAAAGAGGAATGTCCCAGTGAATCTCTGGGGACAAGACTGCACAGCAGGCCTCTCAGAGAAGGCGACATTTAAGCTGAGACCTAAAGAGTCAGAACGTGTCAGCCATGCAGACATCTGGGAGGGGAGTAGCGGGCAGAGGGAACCACAAGTGCAAAGGCCCTGAGGCAGGGGCCCATGACAAGGAGCAAGAAGGCTTGTGGGTCCAGAGCTGAGGCGGAGGGGACAGGAGCTCTCCTTCAATCATACAACCAAGCCGTCTGTTGGTAATGGGATGGAGTCTGAGCAGGGAGGAGTGGGGGCCCAGAAGCGCCTGCTGGTGGGGTGAGGAGCGCTACCGTCTCACAGACCCAGGAGCCTCTGCACTGGACCCCTGTCCCTCACGGGGCTCAAAGGTTGGATGAGAGGCCATGACCTACACTCGGCCACCCTGGCGGGGTCCCAGGGCCAGGGGAAAGGCACTGTGCTTGCGCCCCACTTCCATCCTGCTGTCTCCCTGGTGAGTCAGCCCCTTCCTCCTTTCTCTCGGAGGACGGACACAGGCTGTCCCCACACACGACCTCCCCTCCGGAGGCTCCAGGGGCCAGAGCAGCCAGAGTGACTACAGTTTCCAGCCACCGAGAGGTTGCTCGACAACCCAGTTCCAGAAATCTTTGGGAGGGCAGCTCTTGCACCCCGCTGCTGAGTGGGGACCTCAGAGCAGGTCTCTTCATCGGGCATGACTGATTTAGGGACCAGAGACTTCTCTGGGGCGGGGGGCACCCTGTACAGTGTGGGATGTGGGACACTGTTCCTAGATGCCTATAGCACTCTCCTCTTTGTGACAACCAAAAACATCTCAGGACACTGCTGAACGTCCCCAGTGAGAGCCACCAGCTCGCAGGAGTCCCACTGGGCACGGTCACTCTAGGACTAGGGTGTTACCAGCTGTGCCCCAGATTTCCCAGCATGGAGTTTTATTCTGCCCTCTGAGGAATATTAGCAGAACACAGAAAGCTCGTTGGGAGCAAACCCAGCTCACCCATATCCCACGCTCAGTGGCTAAGCCCTTCCTGCCTTTTTCTACCCTTGACAATCCTGGATCTATTGAGCATTTGCCTTCTGCTAGGCACTGTGCCCAGGGCAGTCCCTGCCATCTCTCTGAATCCTCCCAACACCCCGTGGGGTGATACCACTATCATCCCATTTCACAGATGATGAAACTGAGGCTTGGCGTGCATTTAACATTACGTCACGGGCATTTTCCCATCATTCACAGCCACCATGTTCTGCTGCTGCAGAATCTCCTCTTCATGTAGGCGGAGCTCCCTTGCTTCCTTCAACTCTTCCCAGCTGCTGGGATGGTCCACACATGTTTCCCTGCCCCATGCCAGGACACACTAGAGGCTGGGACATGAAGGTGGCCACAAACACGCACTATCTTGGGCACAGGGGGTGGCCCCTAACATCTCAGCAGTCAGAGCTCTGTCCACCTCCACCCTGGGAGTAGAGAGATGCTCAAGGTTACTCACATTTGGCCTCGAATCCACACAATGCCCACACAGGCCTGACCTTTCTTTAACCATCTCCGTGTGGCAGAGCTCTGTACAGTGAAACGCACCGGGCACAGTTGTTCCCAGGGAGCTGCTTGCCATTATTTGCTCCTTTCCATAGATATGAAAATTCCCCTCTCCTGTGGACCAAGAGCAGCCTTGTCAATACAAAGGGTGCCATACCAGAAATGGCTCGTGTCTAGGTCTGTTTTCTGTTGTTGTATCAAAACACCAAGGGCTGGGTCGTTTATAAAGAACAGAGGTTCATCTGCTCGTTGGTTCTGGGGGTGGAAAGTTCAAGAGTGGTGGCTCATTGTGTGACAATGTTCTTGTGACATCATAACATGGCAGAGGGCACCCCAAGGTGGACACAGCCAGCCAGGACCTCTCTTCCCCTTCTTAGAAAGCCACTAATCCTATCATGGCTCCACCCCAGACGTCATTTGACCCTGATCACCTCCCAAGGGCCCCACCTCCAGATGCCATGAACACAGGAATTTGGGGGTTGACCTTTCATCCCGTTCATCCCCTAGCAGCTGGTGCCTCTGGGCCATTCTGCCTGCACCCAGGCTGCAGGCCCCACCTCTGGGCTGATGTTCCGAAGCCTCCCTCTAGGCCTTCCCACTTGCCCCAGCTGCAGACTCCCAATGCCTGCTGGGCTCTCTCTGGGGTCACTGTCCACAGTATCAGCCTGGTCCACTCCCCCAGATCTGTTTCCTGCCCCTTCGAGCCGTCCCTACTAAGGGAAGCTAATGAAAGGAGAAATTGAGGCCTGAGAGGGTGGTGGCATGTCCCAGATCTCACAGGGAGGAAGATGGATCCATCCAAACCTTGAAAATGTCTACTGAGCCTGAGGAAGGTGAGCCCTAATTGTGTGGAGCAGAGGGGACAGGACACACAGAGGACAGACGCAGGTGAGGAGGAGTGAGAAGGAAGGTGCACGTGCAGGTTAGTGGGCAGCCAGTGACACAGCTGGAAATTTGTTTTGACTTGGGCACCGGCAGCCATTGATAGTTCCTGAGCAGGGGGAGCAGTCCCACTAAAGGTAAGAGAGTTGGACCTATGTTGGACATCAGCAGGTGATGCCCCCTAAAGCTTCTTTGAGTCTCCCCGACAGGCCCAGGAAGTGACAGAGAGCAAAATCAGGGACAGCTGCTTTGGGAACAGTAGGAAGCATTCGCGCACTCCTTTGGCCTCATGTGCACCCTTCACCTGCACAGATCCCTGGGCTCCCAGGCTCGCAGACCACCTGCTCACCGATTAGCTTGCTTGCTCCTCAGCAGACTGCTCACACAGTAAAACACGCCAGTCATAAAAATGTAGCTCCGGAGTTTTGACCAAGGTAGGAGACAGGCGGCCACTATGCAGACCCCGATATAGGAAGGTTCCTGTGAGCCCCCAGGAGCCCCTGGCCTGATTCCCATCACCGCCAATTAGTTCTGCCTTTTCTGGAACCTCTTACCCTTGGAATTGTGGTCTATGGTTAGCTTTTTGTGTCTGCTTCTCCCAAGCATTGTCCATGCTGCCTGCAAATCAATTTGGGTTCTTATTTATTCTGAGAACTACTCCGCCATATGGGCGTACCACAGCAGGTTTATCCATTTGCCATTTGGAATTTTGGATTGTTTCTGGGTTTTTTGGTTATTAAGAATAAAACTGCTAAGGGCCAGAGGTGTAGCTCGGCACCAGTGCCTGCCTGGCAAGCACAAGGTCCTGAGTTCGATCCCCAATTGCTAAAAAAAAAAAAAAGAAGAAGAAGAAAACTGCGATAAACATTGTGTACAAGGCTTTGGATCAACATATGCTTTCACTCTCCTGGGTGAATATCTAGGTGGGCCATTTCTGAGCCTTGTTGGCTTACCTGGGCCACACTGAGTGAAAAGGGATTGACTTGTGCTGCACATAAAACACAATACTGTGTTCGCTTAGGCAGCACATATACTAAAACATACAATACAGTTAATGTATGTAAATAACAAAACTCCCTTTTATATATGTTACTATAACATTATATATTTTGCTGTAACAGTATTCATGATGTTATATGTGGGATTACAATATCACGAGGAAATAGGATTTGATACATTTTTATACTTCCTATACCACAGCTGCTACAAAACCATTTTACCTTAAAATCAAGGGCTCCTCCCCAGACGCAGGTCCTGCCCTACTGCACATGCTCAGAGGCCCCATCATCTCCCCTGTGGGGTCTGGATACAGACAAGATCTGGCCTCTTCCTAGGTGACCATTCAATTAACTGTGGCCTCCTCTGGGCTTCCCGGACTGGTCTGTTCACGTGGTGTCCCAGAGCCTGGCACAGTGCCTGGTGCATTCCATGATTCTCTGTGGCTTGGTTGCGTGGCAGACAGGGATGGGAGCTGAGGGAAGAATTCAGGAAGCCCCTGCCAGGATGAGATGCTGGATGAACCACCCCAGCAGACAGGAGACAAGGGCCCTGCACCCCACACACTTACCTACACCCCTTCCTTCCCTCTTTCTCTGCTGGCAGAGCTGAAGGCGGCTTCCTGGCTGCAGCTTGCTGGAACAAATGGGTCAGTGTTCTGAATCCTAGCAATAAACGAGATCATCTCTACTTCCACATCATGGGGGGGGGGCTGAGGGAGATAATGCAGATTAAGTGTTGGCAAAGTGCTGGACATACAGTGAGTGCTCAATAAGTGCCAGCTTCTTGCCCGTGCCATCCCTCTTTGTCCCAGGCCCCAGCTCGGCTGTGTCCTGCTCTCTGCAAAGAGAGGGCGGGACTCCCATTGTCACCCTCCCAGCAACAATGCCACAAGTGGGCCAGGGATTTAGCTCAGTGGTTTCGCCGCCTGCTGCGCAAGCACAAGGACCTGAGTTCGATCCCCGGTACCAAAAAACAAAACAAAACAATGCCACAAGTGTCACTAAGGGGGATTCCAGGCTCCAGGGCAGGCCAGCAAAGTGAGATTTGGGGGCACGGAATTACCCAAGAACCCCACTCTGATCTCAAGGCCAGTGTGACATTGTGGTTAACAATGTGGCTTTCAGGCCTGAGTTCCAATCCCGAATCTTCATGCATCACCTGGGGCAGGCGACTTTACCTCCGTGAGCCACCGTTTCTTCTCTAAGATGTAGAATCTGAGTGCCCCCTTCAAAGGCTTCTGAAGGGCTTGAGGAGGTATAGCAGATGTGTGTGGGTTTGGAAGGCGTAGGCTGCTGGGTGGATGGGGTGATTCATGCCGGTCATGTGCAAGAGCACCAGAAGGCCAGGTGGGAGCAAGGGAGCGAGGTGCACAGCGGCCAGCCTGTGCCACTGAGGGTCAAGTGCAGGTTTCTGGCCTCAGTTGTTTAATAAATACAGAATATAGTGTTTGAATAAAGAAATTATTAGAATAAAAGACATACAGCCATTCACGCCTGTCAACACAGCCCCACCCGCTTTGAACACCCTTATCCCATCTTTCTTGCCACCTTCTGGAGCAGTGTTGGAAATCCTCTTTCATGAGTCTTTAGTTGTGCTGTTGTTGCTGCCTCAATGTCCTGAATCCAGTCAAAACATTCATCTTCATGATCATTTTAACTTTGGGGGCGAGCCAGAAGTCACATGGTGCTAGATCTGGTAAATAAGACAGATGAGGATGCAGCGTAACGTTTTTACAACCAAGCCTTTCCAGTGGATGGCACGCAGCAAGAGTAGTCACCATATTTTTTATCACACCTTGTAAAGACGTGAAAGAGGACTTCCAGAACTGCTTTAGAAAGTGGCAAACGGTGGGGCGTAGTGGCACACCCCTGTAATCCCAGTACTTGGGAGGCTGAGGCAGGAAGATCACAGTGAGTTTGAGGCCAGCCTAGGCTACATAGTAAGTTCAAGTACAGCTTGAACTACACAGCAAGTCCCTGTCTCAAAAAAACACAACAAACAAACAAAAAGAAAAAAATGGCAAGAATAATGGGTGTTTTAAAGTGAGGGGGAGTATTTTGAGGGGAAATTCATGGCAATGGGTCATTTATTGTAATACAATTTTTATTTTTGTTTCTATTGGTACATTTAGATATACACAATAACATTCATCATAGGGAATTTGTACCTGTACATGATCTATCTTGCTTCTTTTTTTTTCTATTCCCCTCCTCTCCCTTTAACCCCTCTTCTTCTCCTTATTTACAAAATCTTTGTTTCCATTTTTTCCCTTCTATTCTTTTTTTCTTATCCCTTCCTTCTTTTCCCTCTGTCCCCTCCCTAGTTCACCTCCTCATTTGAACATTTTCTTCCCATTTCCCAATTCTATTATACATTTTTGTCCTTATTTACATTTCAATTTCTCACATGAGAGAAACAATGCAGTACTTAAATGTGTCCCCGATTTATTTCACTTAAGAGTATGGTCCTAAGGTGCATCCATTTAGCTAGAAGTGTCTCAAGCTTATCTTTTTTTAAGGCAGTGTATAGAAAAACTACACTGTATAGAAAAACTACATCTTCTTTACTCATCAGTTGATGGTCATTTGGACTGTCTACACTATTACAAATTGTGCTGCTATAAACATGGTGTGCCTATATCGCTGTGGTATGGCGCTTTTAATTCTTTAGGGAAGATACCAAGAAAGGAAATACCTGGGTCAAATGGAAACTCTAGCTTTAGTTTTTTGAGGAATCTCAACACTGATTTCCATGGTGGTTGCACCAGTCTACACTCCACCAACAGTGAAAAAAGTTTCCTTTTTCCCCACAGCCCCACCAGCATTTGTTATTGGTTGATTTCTTGGTAATAGCCATTCTTAGGGCCAGGGATTTAGCTCGGTGGTGCCGCCACCTGCCTCGCAAGTGCAGGGTCCTGAGTTTGATCCCTGGTACCAAAAAAAAAAGTCAATAGCCATTCCTTCTGGAATGAGATGGAATGTCAGAGTTATTTTAATTTGTATCTCTCAAATGACTAGTGATGGTGAACATTTTTTCATATATTTATTTGTCATTTCTATTTCATCATCTAAGAAGTGTCTGTTCATTTCAGATGCCCATTTTTAGATGGGATCTTTAAATTTGGGGGTCTGATTTTTTGAATTCTTTATATATTCTAGATATTAGTCCTTTGAGGAACAGCTGGAAATTTTTTTCCCCACACTGTGGGTTGTCTCTTCACTCTGTTGGTGATTTCTTTTGCTGTGCAAGAGCTTTATAATATGAAATCCCAGTTATTGATTCTCTGTGATATTTCCTGTGTGATTTGGGTTTTGTTCATAAAGTCTCTGCCTACACCAATGTCTTCAAGAGTTCTACCTATTATATCTTCCACCAGATTTAGTGTTTCTGTTTTAATATTTAGATCTTTGATCCTTTTGGATTTGAATTAGTGCATGGTGAAACATATAGGTCTAGTTTTAATCTTTGCCATGTGGAAAGCCAGTTTTTCCAGCACCATTATTAAAGAAGCTATCTTTCTTGCAGTGAAGGCATTTGACTCCTTTGTCAAAAATAAGGTGGCTGAGTGTTTTCAAAGTTGTTTCTGCAACTTCTGATCTGTTTCACTGATCCTCAAGTCTAGTTTTTTGCTAGTACCCGGCTGTTTTTATCACAATACCTTTGTATTTGGTTTCAGGTCAGAAATTGTGATGCCCCTGCCTTGCCTTTGTTGCCTAGAATTGATTCAGCTTCAGTAATTCATAGGTATCTAGGAATCTTTCCATTTCCTCTGTTTTCCATCTTATTAGAATACAGGTTCTCAAAGTTAATATTGATGATCTTCTGGATTTCTTCAGGATCTATTTCAATAGATGACCTATTGAATAGGTGATCTATTTAACCCTTTTCACTCCTAATTGCATGGTTTGAGTATTTTCTGTCCTTTTATTGATAAGGTTGACTAAGAGTTTGTCAATTTTATTTATTCTTTCAAAGAACCAACTCTCTTTTTTTCTCAGTACCAGGGATCAAACAAAGAACCAACATTTGATTAATTGATTCTTTGTATTGTTTTCTTAGTCTCAGTTGCCCTAATTTTTGCTCTGCTCTTTATCATTCCCTCCCTCATATTGCTTTGCTCTTCTTTTTCTAGAAGGTTGAGGTTCAACATTAGCTTATTTATTTGAGCTCACTCTGTTTTTCTGATATGGGAATTGAGCTGCTATAAATTTCCCTCATAGGACTGCTTTCATTGCATCCCATAAGTTCCAGTATGTTGTACTGTCATTATCATTTAATTGTAGAAATTATCTAATTTCTTTAATTTCATCTGTGACCCACTAGTTATTCAGGAGGGAGTTATTTAATTTCCATGTGTTTATGAAGTTTTTGTGGCTTCTTTTGCCATTGATTTCCAATTTCATTGCACTATGGTCTGATAATATGCATGGGATAAGTTCACTTCCTTTGTATTTACTTAAGCATATTCTATGAACTAGCATGTGGTCTATTTTGGAGAATGTCCCATATGCAGCTGAGAAGAATGTATATTCTGATGCTGTGAAGTGGAACCATCTGTAGGCATCTACTAAGTCCATTTGTTCAAAAGTTTGGTTCGGTTCTGGTATTTAGTTGATTTTTTTGTCTAATTGATTTGTGACAGTCAAGTATTGAGGTCCTCCATTACAACTGTATTAGTGCTTATTCGATTTTTCATGTCCCTTAATATTTGTTTTTATATGGTTGGGTACACTGATATTTGGTGCATATATATTTATGATTATCTCTTCCCCTTGGATTGTTCCTTTTATAAGATAGTGATTTTCTTTGTCTCTCTTAATCAATCTTGGCTTTAAACCTACTTTGTCTTCAAATAGAATATTTACCCCTGCTTTTTTCCAGGTTCCTGTCACATATAGTATTGTTTTCTATCCTTTGATTTTCAATTTACAAATTTCTTTTTTATTAAATGTGTTTCTTGTATGCAGCATAATGTTGGATCTTGCTTCTTGATCCATTCTGTCAGTCTATTTCTTTTGATTGGTGAATTGAGACAATTTACATTGATGGTTATGATTGATATGCATTGACTTATCCTTGTCATGGTATTTTCCTGTTGTTGGTTCCCTTTTTTCCCCCCTCTGTTTAATTACTTCCTTTGCCTGGTGGATTCATTCTGTTGGGATTCATGGAGTTGCAGTCCTCAATATCTCTTTCTATAATGCCCTTCAGAACACTCTGAAGTGCTTTTGTGAAGTGACTTTTTGTGAATTTTGGTGTTCATGAATTTCTTCAGGTGTTCTTTGTCTTGGAAGCATCTTATTTCTCTATCAATTTTGAAAAATAGTTTTGCAGGGTACATCAATCTGGGCAGGAGGTTGTTTTCTTTTAGAACTTGAAATACTTTACTCCAAGCTCTCCTTGACTTGAGGTTTTGTGTTGAGAGGTCTGCTATGATTCTGATGGGCTTTCCTTTATAGGTGATTTGTTTCTTTTCTCTAACAGCTTTTAATATTCTGTTATTGTGTTGAATTTCTGGAATCTTGACTACTATATGTCTTGGTGTAGTTTTTTTTTATCATGGCTAATTGGAGTTCTATATGCCTCACTTACCTGTATGTTAAATTATTTTTCCATGCTTGGGAAGTTTTCTGCCTTTACTTGTGTGAACAGGTTTCTTATGTATTTTGTGCCATTTCCTGCTTTTCCATTGACACCAATCAATCTTATGTTATCCTTCTTTGCATCATCTAGCAACTGTTGGATTGATTTTTAGTAGTCCCTTGCAATTTTGAAGAAATTATGATCACTAACTGAAATCCTGTCTTCTAGATCTGATATTCTGTCCTCACATTGGCTCATTCTACTGCATATACTTTCAATGGAATTTTTATTCTCCTGGATATCTATTTGAATCTGTTTCATGGATTCCATTTCTTTCCTTTGTTGGATGTTCATAGTTTCCATCATTTTTCTAAGCTCTTCTATTTTTTGTTTTTAATCTGTATCTGCTCTAGGGTCACTAACCATGTCTTTCATTACGGTCACCAGCTCTATAGTTATCTGAGAAATTATTTCTGATTTGATTTTCTCTAGAGCCTCGTTCATCTGCTTTCTTACTTTGGCTGTTACCACTTCAGAGAGTCCAGGTGGGTAGCTTTTGACTTGTTCCACCTCATTGCCCCTTGGGTTTTCCTTTGGTGAGCTGGAAGTCTGGGGTTGCATTTTGCTTCCATGTCTTCTCATTTTCTATTTTAGTTTTAGTTTAATTCCTGGTTGATTCTCGTAAATTGCTTATGGCAAGTAGCTTTATTGCTAGTATTGAGAACTCTTAGGAAATGACTTCTTCTCAGAGATGTCTTCCAGATGGCTTTTGGGTTTTGAGTCTGTTGTAAGATCCTACCTCTTCAATTTATTGGGGATAAGAAGTTTCTGCCTACTTGGCCTAGCCCCTGGTTCTTTGGGACTGGGCTATAGTATTGTTTATGACCCTTAGGCAATCTCAGTCTTGGTATACCAGGAAGAACAGTTGATTAGCACAATTATGTCACCTTGGCTAAAGTAATACAATCAGCAATATCAATAGCATCAAACACAGCCTAGAAAATGACAAACTATGGTAACTCTTAATCTGGCCCCTTTAACTGTATGAACTAGATTTGTGTTTACATAAGAAAATCTAAAACAAACCAGAAAATTGCACACAGTAAATACGCCATCAGTATGACAATTTTACCCTCAGGGGAGAAAATTTAAAAGGAGTTTGGGGAAAAAATAAAAAAATAAAAGGAGTTGAGGGGGAAAAGAGAAATAGAAGAAAAGGAAGAGATTAGAAGAAGGCTGGAAGACAAAGGTAGATTATGCAAACTTTGGGAAACTGATGAAGAAGACAGGAGGGAAAGAGAGAAGGAAGAAATAAAAACAAGAAGAGAAACCTGCTACGCAAGCACAAGGACCAGAGTTCAATCCCTGGTACCCCCCCCCAAAAAAAGAACAGAACAGAACAACAACAGCAAAACTAGAACAAACAATCAAGAAAAAAAAGAAGAAAAGAAAAAATTTGTCCACTTCAGGGAGTGTCTCTGCTGTCACTGGTAGATAGAATGGGCAGACAGAGCCCAGATCTATGTTGATTAATCCCAGCAAGCCAGCCATAGCTTTATGGTGTGTCGGGGGGTGGGGGGTAGTGCATAATCCCAGCAAGCCTGCACCTTTAGTTCCACTGAAGTTCAGGTTGGTTTCTGGCCATGAGACTGGAACCCAATTTGTTCAGCCTGCAACACTCTGTGCACCTCCTGCTGACTTAAATGCAGCTCCTTGACCTCCTAACAACTTGAACTTGGTTCTGTCTCACTCTGACACCGGAAGTTGTTAGATGGACCCAGCCTGCAACTGCTCTGAGTTCCAAGCTCAGTTGGCCCTTCTCCAAGATGGCAACCAGCCAATCACTCTCTCCCGGGGGAGGTCTGACCTGAATAACTTACCAGTCACTGCAGTCTGCTGCATCCACTGCTCCATTCCACTGGTGTTTCTCCATGGGGGTTTCTGGGGTGGTCAGTAGTCACTATGAATCTGCAGGTTCCCGCTGCCCCAACCACACAGCAAGTCAGGGCTCATGGAAAAAAATGCCACTTGCCACCTCCTGCATTTGTTCTCTCTCTTCACTCTCCCCATGGGCTTCAATTCTCACTTTAGATCCTTACTGGGTAGTGGGACCTATTTCCCTCCTTCTTCTCTTCCTCATGTTGCTATATTCCAGCATCTGTACACCAAATCTCAGAGAGACTCTTTCTCTGCAGTTTGCCATTCCCCAAGCTATCTTCCCAGAAGTTGTAATAAAATTTCTAAAATTTAAACATTTATTGCATTTTTATCACCCCTTGTATTATGCTTAAAAACAAGGTCATCAATACTCAAATCTCACCATTTCTTACTTATTTTACTACACTGTACTGTTATCTATGCTCTGAAGGTTATTTACATCCATTGTCATCATCTCCTACATAAGAGCTGGTGCTTCAGATGGTCCATGAGAGTACTTACATGGAGGAAAACAAAAACTACATTTACCATCTCTTGGTGAGTCTGGAGCTCCTTCCAGGCAAAATAGCCCTCCTTCTTCATCCTCAGAAACAAAGGAGGAGCCAGGTAGGGTGGCACATGTCTGTAATCCCAGCTCTCTGGAAGGCTGAGGCAGGAGGATTGCAAGTTTGATTCCAGCCTGGGCAATTTAGTAACATAGTGAAACTCCGACACAATTAATGATGTGGCTCAATGCAATGGCCTGGGTTAAATCCCCAGTATCACAAAAAGGAAAGAAGATAAAGAAAAGGAAAGAAAGAAGGGAGGGAGGGAAGGAAAGGATGGGAGGAAAGAGAAAGGGAGAGAGAAAGAAGGAAGGAAAAAGGAGAGAGGAAGCACGGGGCCGCCAGTGGCTCTAGAAGCTGGTGAAGGGAGCCCCCTGGTGGTTATTCTGAGCACCAATCATCAACTGAATATATCCTGGGGATTTGGTACACACACATCACACCTTAATCCTTTTTACTTCTCCTTCCCCTCCCCCACTTCTCTTTCTCTCCATCCCTAAATCCTCTTCACATCTCCAAAATGTCAACCTACCTCCATGTTTCCTATCCATCTTTTATTTTGCTCTTTCAATTATTTCTACTTTGGGTTTCTCATATTAAAGAAACCATGTGACATTTAACTTCTGTGTCTGACTTATTTCACTTAGCATTATGGTCTAAGGCGCATCCGTTTGCCTGCAAATGACTCAAATTTATCTTTCTTTATGCCTGCGTAGCACTCCATTGTGTACATAGCCCTGAATTAAATCTTGAGTCTTGCAAGCGGAGAGGAGCACAGAGACAGAGAATCAGAGCTGCAAGGACTGGGCCTTTTCCGGCAGAGACGGCAAACCAGGTTGTGCAATCATGCGGCATCCCCGAGCCCTAGAAACCTGGGACCCTGGGACCATTCCGATGCCCCCAAGCCCTTCAGCCCTGGGGTCTGCAGGCTTTGTGGGGGGGGGGTCACTCATCTCCCCTTCTCTGCGTCTCCTGATCCTCAGGGGAGCGGAGCTCACGATCCTCACCACCCACCAGCTGCCTCACCTGGTTATCCCATCGGGGAGACTCCCCGCTTCCCCAGCCCGCCAAAGCATGAGAACGTGGCTTCCTTGAGCGCACAGCCTCGTTCTAGACACTCAGGGGGAGGCGCAAACACAGCCAAGGCCAGACATGTAGGGCACTGGGCCGCGTGTCCCACACTGTCCCCATGGGCTCTGGCCACCTGCCCTGCCCCCCCTTCCCCGTGACTCGGCTCTCGTCCCCAAGTCTTCTCCCAAGCTGCAGCCACCACCTTCTCCTTGACTTCCCCAGGTGTGGTGGCAGGAGAGGTCTTTCACTCCCACAGACCCCACGGCCAGTGTTTCCTAGACGGGATAAAAACCCTTCTTCCATCACAGAGCCTGAAGTATTTACTGTCTGGCCCTTTGAGGAAAAGTTGGTCAGCCCCAAACTTTCTCTTCAAAAAAGGTTTTCAATTTTTTAATTAAAAAACGTATTAGTGAATATTAGTTATACAGAGTGATGGGTTTCATCTTGGCATACTGGTACATGCATATAACATACATGATTACTTTCACACAACTCCATTACCCTCCTCTGTCACCCCTCCCTTCTTCCCTTCCAAGCTTTCTTATTTTATTTACTTATGTATTTTATTTCTCTGTTGTTGGTACTGGGGGTTGAACCCAGGGCCTCCACACTTAGCTATGTTCCCAGCCCTTTATTAATTTTTAAAATTCTGGGACAGTATCTTGCTAAGTCACTAAATTGCTCAGGCTGGACTTGAACTTGAGATTCTCCCGCCTTAGTCTCCCAGAGTGCTGGGATTAGAGGCTTGTGTCACCTAGCCCTTCCAAACTTTGGATGCCATCCCATCAAGACTCCTCTGAGTGGTAGGGAAGCCTTGCTGTGGCTGCTCTGCCCTGGGAGGAGATGGCCCTGGCATTAGTGGGGAGGGGCAGGCTTCCAGGAGGACAGTGTGGGCACGTGGAGGTGCATTTCAGGTCTGGGGGCACCAACTGCTGAAGGCCAGCAGCAGGGCCTGCGGGGAGGTGAAGTAAGCCCTCATTTTCCCTTCCCAGCATGAAACCTTCTCCAGCTGCCCAAGCAGGACCCAGATGCTGCACTGCCTACAGGGCAGTGTCAGCTGAACAGCCCACCACAGGGGCCCCGAGAGCCTGGGGCTGAGGACCTGCCGCTGGGAAGCACCCACCTCACCAGGCTGCAGCATGGAGAAAGCAGGGAGGGCTGCCCGGTGGGGGCAGCCTGGACCCTGCGAAGGATTCAGCCACTGTGTCTCCTTCATCACACATTTATTGAAGCTGGGCTGGGTGAGAACAGGACAGAGCCAACCCTGAAACGTGGCCACAGAGGAAAGCAATCGAGGGCAGAGTGGAATCACTGTCCCCAGACAGAACTGGCCCACACAGTCCCAAAGAGGGTCTACCTTCCCAGGCCTCCACAGGCTGAGGCCTTCCTTGGGTTCCCAGAGCAGTGCCCAAGGAACCCCCACTGCCCCTCTCGGGGTTGGGGGATGGAAGGAAATGGCCTCAGGAATCCATCACTCTTCAGCACCCCTCCCCAAGCTTTCCCTTCCTATCTGGCCACCAGGGCAACTGGAAGGGGGTAGGGGAACTCAGTCTTCCTTGGTATCTGGGGATGAGGACCCGGTGGCCTGGAGGGAAGTGGACAGCAGACAGCAGTTCTGGGGGACTGAGAGGCCCCCAGAACTGACATGGGACAAGGAAGGGCAAGGATCTCACAGGCAGGGTGGCTGCCTGCCTTGGTCCTGGCCTGGGGACAGCCGGGCTCCACCAAGGCAGGAGGGAGGGGGAGGTGATTCTGCCGGCTGGGCCTACGTGGCTGCGGGTCCTTGGCCACTCTTGGCCCTGTTTGGGGCGGCCGCAGTCCTGTCCTCCAGACCCCTCTCCTCTGGGTCTCCCAGGAAGCCAGAGCTGTGGGTGGCTGCGGAGGAGCGAGAGGGCCAGGCTTTCTCGGGCAGCTAAGGGAGGAAGCTGTGCAGGGTCAAGTCATCCCCCTCGTGGTCCTCCCTGCCCTCCGCCTTTAGGTCATAACCCTTGGCCACGCCCCCGTTGGCCGCAGCAGGGCCCCCCTCGCCCCCGTCGGGCAGTAGAGACGAGATGCAGACCATCTCGGTGGGCGAGTAGTTGCGCACAGGGTACCTGTGGCCCTTGCGGGAGAGGCGGACGGCCAGCACCACAGTGCACACGAGGAAGACAGTGGCCACCAGTGCCAGGATGAGGATGGCCAGCAGGCACTGCCTCACGGGGATGCGCCCCGAGGCCTCGGTGGGGCTGGGGGCCATGGAGCTCCTAGTGGGCACAGCCTGCCCTTTCTTCAGGCCCATGTTGAACAAGTTGCTGTCTACCACAGTGGTGTCTTTTCGAGTGACAGAGTGCCCAAGAAAGGTGATGGTGTGAGTGAGTCCCATGGATGAGAACTCTGTGGTGTCTGGCTCTGTGGACACAGGCAGTGTGGCAATGGGCTCTGTGGACAAAGTTTCTATGGCTGTGAAACTCATGGGCAGGGCCTCTGTGGCTGCAGGTTGAGTGGTCTCTGCTTCCATGGCTATTGTTTGAATGATCTCTGCCTCCGTGGCTGCTGTTTGAGTGGTCTCTGCCTCCGTGGCTGCTGTTTGAGTGGTCTCTGCCTCCGTGGCTGCTGTTTGAGTGGTCTCTGCCTCCATGGCTGCTGTTTGAGTGGTCTCTGTCTCCGTGGCTGCTGGCTGAGTGGTCTCTGTCTCTGTGGCTGTTGGCTGAGTGGTCTCTGTCTCTGTGGCTGCTGGTTGCATAGACAGAGCCTCCTCTTTGAGTGGAGCCTCTGTGGCAGAAACATTCACAGAGCTCAGTTCTGTAGCTAGATCCGCTGTGATTGGAACCTGCTGTGTGACTGGCTTCGTGGCAGCCTCCACAGTGGATAGCTCAGAGGTTCCCAGCCCCACAGAACCTGTCCACACTACATGGCCCTTTGAGGTCACGTGCTTAAAGTCTGTAGTTGCAGCCCCGGGGGCCTGTGTGAGTGTTTCTGGAGGGTCTGTGTAGTACTCTTGGGAATAGTCTTCAAAGTCATCTTCCAGGTCCACCTGTCTCCGTCCCCGTGCAAGGGCAGGGCCTGGGACGCCCTTAGCTGCATCCTCCTGGGTGGAGGCTGTGCCTAGAGGTGCCAGCAGCAGCAGCAGCAGCAGGAGAAGCAGAGGCATAGTACCTGGGGAGACACAGACAGAGGGACATCAGGGCCCACCTGATAGGTCTCCTACTACCTCAGCAGCCATTATGTATAGTAGCTGCCCTCTTCCTATGGTGCCTTGCCCCCTCCCCTGTGTGACATCATGCCAAGATGGTTGCTCCCACCAAAGAACAAACCCTTCTTCCCAGCATGCCCCTGTTCCCGCCTAGAAAGTAACCTAATACTCGCTCACCTCCTATCACCTAGTGACATCACCGGCTCCTCCATTCCCTAGTCACTACCTCACTCAACCCCACCTCTGCCCCTACCCAGCCCTACCCCAGTCTCTATAAAAGACTCTCCCTGCCCCGGCCATATTGCTTTTGTCTCTCCTTTGTTCAGAGACAGCCCGGCAGATCTGTTCCCCTAATAAAGGCTTGTTGTGACCTGGTCTGGTCTTGGTTTTCGGCCCTTTTACCTGACACCACTGAGCTCTGAGCCTGAGACCCTGGTCTGTTCTGGGGCAGCACATGCCTGGGGTGGAGCAGACCCTCATCGACAGCAGCTGTTATTACTGCCATTTGATGTGCAGACAGCCATGGGGGGCTTCAACTTCGTCCATAGGATTCCTAGGAACTCTGTTTGTCTCCTTATCATTTTTTGCCTCCTAAAACTTTATCTGTGGACAAATAAGCCACTGGGGTATAGAAACAAAGTCAGAAGCTGGGCTTATTGAAAGAGGGTATTTATTAGCTCTGTGCCTTGTTAGCTGGGTTGGGGACCCAGGTGGGGGACAGAGAGCAAAGTTAAGAAGAAGGAGCTTTATTGAAGGTGCGTCACCAGGAAGGTCAGCCCTGCATTCCCCAGGTGCCAGGCAAGGCACAGGATTGAAACCGCACATGATGGGGTCCAGCAGGAGGAGGTCAAGTCCTAGCTCCGTGCCTTACAAGCTGTGTGACCCTGAGACAGATTGGTGCCTCTCTGCACTTCAGACTTCCTGTCTGTAAAGTAGGGATAAGAAATGGCGCCTTTGTCACATGGCTGTCGAGCGAAAGCAATAAGGGGATGGGTTCAAAAGTGCCAGGAGCTCGGTAGGTGCTTGTTACAGCTTCGACCTAAGATGGCCCCTCAAAGTCCCATGTGTTCAGAAGTGGGGCTTTGGGGAGGTGATTGTTTCATGAGGGCCCTAACTTCCTCAGTGGATGGATCCATTCATACCTCAGTGGCGTCCTCAGGAGGGGGCCTCGTTGAAGAGAGTGGGTCATGGGGCGTGACACTGAGGACCACAGCTGGTCCCTGGCTCTCCCTCTCTGTGCTTCCGGGCCACTCCGAGGTGAGGGCCACCCTTCCCATGGTGTTTGTGCCTTGGAGCCAGGTGAGCATGGCCCGAAACCTCTGAAACTGTGAGGCAAGATGAACCTTTCCTCCTGGCCTGCCCAGCTTCTCACAAGTTCGAGCCCAGTTTGAGCAACTTAGACTTCATGTCTCAAAAAATAAAATACTAAACTAAACTAAAATATAGAGGGCTGGGGTTGTGGCTTAGTACTCCTTCGGTTTGGTCCCCAGTGCCAAGGGGGGGAAAAAAGAGAAAAGGAAAGAAAGAAAAGGAAAAGGAGGGGGAAAGGAAGGGAAGAAAACCAAAACAAACCTCTCCTCCTCAAAGCTGTTTGTCAGGTATTTTGTCACGGTGATGAAAAGCTGGCTAACACACACACACACACACACACACACACACACACACACACGTCTTCAAGGCGGCTGAGTTCCTACCCAGGGCAGGATATGTGGCCCAACCTCGGCCCCACTTTCCTGGGGGACAGGAGGAAGACCCAGTTCCTAACAGTTCAAACACTCACCCCACAGCCCCCACCTGGGCTCTTCTGGGTTCCTGGCAGCAGAGCCCTCAGCCACTTCCTGTAAGCAGAGGGGGAGGGGCACAGTCTCAGAGCCCGGCTCTCTGGCTCCTGGGCTTTGGGTGGGGCACCTTGGAGGGGTGAGTCCTACTTTGTGCCTCCTGGAGGTGGGGGCACAGCAAGAACGGGCTGGGGCCTGGCTGCCCTCTGCCCTATACCCACCCCCAAAATCCCCGACCGGAGAAGAAAGCACGGGGTTGAGTCCTGAGTTCCTCCAAGCCATGCGACCCCTTGCAGGCTTCCCCTCTCAGAGCCTGTTTCCTCATATGTAAAATGGGCGATACTGCTTCAAAGGATGGATGTGAGACTCAAATGAGCATGGGAGGTGCCTGGTGCTGGCTGGCAGCAGAAGGGTCAGAGGGGTTTATCTGGGGTCCTCTCTGGGGCTGCAGGCAGAGGACAGAGCAAAGGGAAGGCACAGAGATGTGGCCAGCCACCGTGGGCAGTCAGGGAGCCACAGGGGCCTGCAGAAGCACAGCTGCTCCTCTGTTGGGATAAGATGGGGCTCCAGGAGACCCCAAATCTCCCACTTGAGCCTGTCTGGGTCCACCAGCTTCCCAGATGTTTCCAGCGCTCTTACTGAAAGTCCTCTGTCCCCTGAAAGCCATCAGCCTCAGACCCACCAGAGCAACTGAGCCCCCCGGCCTGTCTCACGGGCTTTGCGTGAGACACCACAGCCTGAGACAGGCGGGGCTGAGCAGGCCCCAGCCCACCCGGCAGGAAGGATGGGGACCCCAGGTGGGGAAAGAGGAGCAGCAGTGGGGCGCTGAGGTTCTGAGAGCTGCTAAAGTCCATGTGTTGCCCCGAAACAGCAGTGATTCGTGACAGAATCCCCGCGTGAGGGCTGGTTTCCGGTCTGCCTCTGGATGACCTCAGTTGTCTTCACTCCTCTGAAGCACTGGCCTTGAGACTCCCACGAGATGGAGAAACTGAGGCTCACGGGGTTGTGTCGCTTCCCGGACTGCCCTCCTCTTCTCCTCTCCCCGGCTCAGAGCGGGTGAGGACGGTCACATCCTGGTGATCTGGATGCTGCCTCACTAGCAGGTCATTGGTGGCCTATTTCCTGTCTTTTGCCCTGAAAACCAGTTGCTTCTTTCTCAGGCCACACCCAGGGTACAGGGAGGAGCTGGGTACCCAGGGCCACACCCAGCTCTGGACACCTTACCACGCAGCCAGCAGCCCAGGCAGCTCAACAATAAAGCCCAGGGCACACATCTGTAATCTCAGCACTCTGGGAGGCTGAACCAGGAGGGTTGCTAGTTTGAGCCCAGTCTGTGCAACTGAGCAACCTAACAAGACCCTGTCTCAAAAAAAAAATTTTTTTTAAAGGGTTGTAGATGTAGCTCAGTGTGCAGGCCCTAGCTTCAATCCTTAGTACCACAATAAATAAACAAATAAGTAAATAAATAAATAAATAAACCCTTGGGGCCAGGCATGGTAAAACCCACCTGTAACCCCACTTACTTGGGAGGGTGAGGGAGGAGGGTTGCACGCTCCAGGCTAGTCTGGGCAACTTAGGAGACCTTGTCTCAAAATGAAATTTAAATAAAGAAATGACACCCATGGGACTAAGCACAGCACACAAGGTTTTAGAATCTCAGAATCTGCTTCTTAGGGTTTGGGTTAAGCAGCTCACAAGTGAAGGGAAGCGCTGATCAATAAGGTCAGACTGAGGTGTTCCAGAGCCCCACTGCAGGTCTGATGGGGACTCCCATCAAAGTAGTTCCCTCCCAGCCCTATCCCTGACAAGCTGTGTGACCTTGGGGAACTCGATTCACCTGAGACCCTAGGTATTGCATCTGGGGTTGCTTCCCTCTAACCTTAGAGCACATTGAAAATATCCTAAGTCAAAGACACACTGAATGCGCTCAGCAGCAGGATGTCCCAGCTCAGCCTGGCCTGCCTCAGACTTAACAGGAAGCCTACTTCATCCAACGTTCTAGCCTGGGAAAAGATCAAACTTCAGAGTAAGGGTTCTGCTGCACCGAGCATCGCTTTCACACCACTGTGAGAGAGAAAAGTCAGCCTGGGCCCATCACTAAGTGGAGAACAAGTGAGTGTATAGCCTATAGCAGCTGCCTGCTCCTTGGGGGAGTTGCAGGTCCTTGCAGGCCGCTCAGCACACCCTAAGCGCTCAGTGAACATGAGTGGCTGCCATTATCTGCACTTAGGACAATGGACTCTGCTAACTGCAGCCTGCCCTGGAAAAGTCCCCCACCCAGAACAGGCTGTGACACCTCTGACCTCCCCAGTCAGGGAGGGTGGGGGCAGGGAGCCCAAACGCTAGGTCTAGGTGCCCCCGGTGCTGCCCACAGCCTCGGGCTCCTCCTGTTCGTGAGTCACACATACTGAGTGCAGACAGCCCGCCAGGCCCTGCTCTGAGTCCTGTACACGAAGGGTTGGTCCCCTCAAAAGGATGGGAACGTTACTAATGCCATGTGAGAGATGGGGAAACTGAGGCCCACCTGGAATCTAGTCACACAGCCAGGAAGACAGGGAGATGGAAGCTGAACCCCACAGTCTTCCAGCAGAGCTCACCTCAGCCTCTGTGAACAAGGCTATGTCTATCTTGGAGCCCATACTGCGTCCTCCTAGAAGCCACCCTGATGGCCCCAGGCACGATTTGCATCCTCCTTTTTTTGCCCTCCACCCTTGGGGCGGGGGATTGAACCCAAGGTCTTGTACTTGGTAGGCGAGTGCTCTGTCACCGAGCTACACTCCACCCTTTTTACTTTATTTTGAGACACAGTCTGACTGCATTGCCCAGGCTGGGCTCAAATTTGTGATCTTCCTGCCTCAGCCTCCTGAGTAGCTGGGATTATAGGTTGGCACCACCATACCTGGCCACTCGCCATGTTTAAGCCTTTTCTACTGTTTGCATTCTCAAAATCCATTCCCATGCCAAGAGGACTGCATACAGCATCTTGCCGACCATGCCACATGCCCAGCACTTAGTGGACAGAAGGACACACGCGGGCACCTTTGTGTGCTCCCCTCTCGAGCCATTTGTCCCAGTGGCTCCCAGGTGCTGTGGCTGTCTGTCCTGTGCTGTTCCCACCAGACTGCAGGCATTTGGAAGACAGAGACTCAATGGGGACCCCAACAGCAACAGGGTTGGCATCCCCGGGGCTTGTTGAGTGCCTGGCGAGGTAGGACATCAGGTACAGCTGCCCCATACCACTGTCTCCAGACTTTTCCCATCATGTTTGTCAATTGACACTCAAACCTTTGCCTATCAGTCACCCCCACCCTGCCAGGCCGCCGCCGTAGACATTTTTCCTAATTCCCACTCAGCCCTATGCAATGTGAACACTGCAGAGATGCTGTGTATCTGTTCACCATTCTGTAGCCCTTTGGGAAGACACAGACCATGAGTTTTGGGGGGTTCTTTCTCCCTAAGAACCCCGACGTACTGGCCTGATACAAAGGGGGTGTGGTATTTTACACAAATGAATTTGATGAGAATTCTGGCTGCTTTATTTTAATGGGGGACAGCTTTCTGAAGATACCTATATAGACAGACAGATGAACAAGTGAGTGCAGACACACACCCTAGCCATCCTGTCTCCCCACTGATGCCCTGCTGCCTTCCTGCCCCCATTCAGCAAAGGGAACTGAGAGCCAGGCCCAGGCACTACAGCACCACAAGTGTCCTGCAGCCAGAGGGTCAGCTTCAAGCTCACCACCTCCTACTGGTGGCCACGCTGCCCTGGGGAGCTGTTCCTCCTCTCCAAACCTCAGTCCTGTCCACTGCCAGGGTGCTCGGGCACTCTTCCCAGAAGGCCCTGCTATGGCCTAGCCCCTCTAACTGTTGGGGTTTCACCTCCCCTGGCTGCTGGCAGAGCCTGGTGCAGGCGGCATCCCCCATGCAGGGTGTGGCTCCGGGCAGCCTCACAGGAAGTCACTCCAGGCCCAGAGTTCGGGAGACAGCTCCTGAGCCCCTGCCCACTGTCAGGCCCACCCTGGAGGCTCCAGGTCAGGGATGGGCAAAGGAAGGAAACAGAGGTCAGGAAAAAGAATTCCAGGCGCAGAGCTCTGGTGCGTGCGTGCGTGCGTGCGTGCGTGCGTGTGTGTGTCTGTGTGTGTGTGTGTGTGTGTGTGTGTGTGTTCCCCAGTCCCCACAGACACAGAAGCAGCTTTGGCCCTCAGCTTTTATCATTCTCCTTTAAGGCCCTAAAGTACCCCAGACACACATTAACAAGAGTATTCTAATGATTATTTTTACTAGATTCTCTTTTGCTAACAATAGTGTCAAGATTCTAATATTTTAATAATTTGCCACAAACAAGTGCCATTTCCTCAATCTTACAGTGTTGAAGAACAGTGTTTTCACGGCCCTGAAGCATGCAGCTTCAACACAAGCCCGAGTGCCTCCTCCTTTCTGGACCCCTCCGGACCTAATCTCAGTTGTGTCCCTAAGCAACTCTCTGAAGTTCAGTTTCCCACCCAGGAGAGAAAGGGGTGGGATGATGTCTAAGGAGAAGCCCTCAATTTTTCTGACACTTCTGAAGTTCCTTTTCAGAACACCCCAGCAGCCGCAGGCGAACAAGGCCAGCAGAGAGGGCAGGTTAGATGCTGAGGCATCAGGAACCGGAAGACACCAGAGAAGCCCTCAGACTCCAGGAAGACGTCAGTCTGAGCCCATGGAGCTTGGTCTGCCCTCCCAAAGGGGCTCAGGAAATGCCCAGAAGATCTGCCCTGGGCCCACCAGCAGCTGGCAGGCAGGTCCCCTGGTCCCTTGGGTCCCTGGCCACTCCCTGTGGTTTTTGCAAACCAGCACTTACCGTGCTCAGCAGAGCATGGGACAGCTGCCTCCTGGGCCTAGAAGTGACTTCTTTGCTTTAGTGACAAGGCCCCAGGCTACACTGCTGGGCACTGTGTGGCACCCCCTGCCGTGTCTCAGACCCTGCCAACCCCCAACGGCAATGTGTGTGGAAGAAGGAAGCGAGAATGTGGTTACTCAGCCTGGGCCACGTGACAGCCCACACCCCCTTGTTTGTGACAGCTTGGGTGATGACGTTGATCAAGACTAGGTGGACAGTGCTAAAGGGACCTGTTGGGTTTCTGTGCCTTTGGAGTCTCTGTAACCATGTGGAAACCTTCTGGGGAGGGGCCCCTGGTTAGGGTATTTGACCCACCCAGAAAGAGACCACAGCATTATCCTACTAGCAGTGACAGTGGGGCAGCAGGGGACCCGCCCTGGAAGGCAATGACCAGAGGAAGAGAGGGTGGCCCTCCATTCTCACCCATGATGAGGCAGGGGCAAGGGCCTGACCGGAAGACACAACGCAGACCACCATAGGCTTTGCAAATTGGCTGTGTCTCTTCTTTTTAGGGTCCCACAGCAAGTCCTTTTAACAGCAATCCCTTGGGAGCTGGGTTACAAATCCCACAGGGCACGACCTGCTCACCAGTTTTTACATTTTTTTCAGGTACTGGGGATACAACCCAGGGCCTTGTGCATTCTGGGCAAATGCACTAGACTTTTTTTGTTTTGTTTTGAGACGGGGTCTTGCTATGCCGTTCAGGCTGGCATTGATCTCACTATGTAGCCCAGGCTGACCTCAACTTTGCAGTTGATCCTTTTGCCTCAG